CTGGTGTTGACACCAGGTTCTCTGGTGGGGTAACCATTGGGTTCACAGATAGGGTAGCTACTGGGTTCTCTGGTGGAGTAAACGCAGGGTTTGCGTATGGGGTAACCGTTGGATTTCCTGGTCGTGTAACAGTCAGTGGTTCTGGGGTAGTCTCCGGCCCTCGGCTTCCTTTGATCGCCGGTGAAATCGATCCGGGAAATGCTATGAGACCGGCTTTTGTGCAGCGATCCCCCCACCTCCTCGCCCCCCCGCAGCCCGCAATACCCATCCGTCCTCGCCCACTCTCCGCCGCTCGAGCTGCGTTGGCGCATCCTGGACGAGTGGCGCTTGGGCGACCGGTGGGAGAGTTGGGCGCCACCGCACGTCCTGGAAGCGAAAGCGTCTCCGTTTCTGGACGAGTCCTTCCCCCCCGCCTCGACACCTTCTTCCTCGACGTGCATTCCGGTCTGCTCGTCGGGCCTGGCTCCTGGCCTCGTGCCCTTGAGCGCCCGCTGCCCGCTCCCGCTGGAGGACCTGTACAGGGGCCTCCTCTTGAGCAGGGCAACATCCTGCAATCTGGCCGAGGCGGCCGGAGCGTCTCGGGCCAAACTGCGGGAATCGAAACCCCGGCTCGGGTCAACCGAGTAGATCTGCCGGTCGTCCAGGCCGGCCTCGGCTTTGGGAGCGTCGCGCGACGTCAGCGACTCCCTCCTCTTCAGTGCGGTCCTGTTTCTGTACCCGGGGTGGCCGACCTTGACCTCTTCCTGGCCGAGGTCTTCGGAGCTGGAGCTGCTGCCGCTGCTGCCGCTGCTGCCGCTCCCGCCGCCGCCGCCGGCCGAATCGTCCTCGGACAAGGGCGCGGGCGATCTCAGCGCCCGGCCCTCTCGGAGGAACTTGGCCACCCGCTGCCGGTACTGGACGGCGGCCGCCTCTTGAGGGCCGGGCGCGGCCCGAGGAGGGGCCGCGCTGACCGGGCCGCCGCCGCGGCGGGCGTGGCCGGCTCTCCGCTGCTCCGGGCTGGAAGCCGAGGTCGCCTTGTTGTTGTTGTTGTTCTTCTTCTTCTTCTTCTCCTCCTCCTCCTCCTCTTCCTCCTCCTCCTCCATCATGGCCCGCAGCTCCTGCTGCCTGACCTGCTTCCTCAGGTGGAAGTCCCTCCACACGTCCACCGCGCAGTCCAGGTCCAGCTTCCTCTCCAGCACCTGCTTCAGGACGTCGAAGGCGTCGGCCTGGCGGCCCGCCGGCCCGCGCCAACCCTGGCGGCGGCGGCGCCCGCCCTCCTCCCGGGCCTGCTTCTCACCCGAGGCCGAGGCCTTGGTCTTGGCCTTGGCCTTGGGCGGCGGGGGGACGCCCTCCGGATCCGCGGGGTCGACTCGAGACCCGGGCGGCAGCTCCGTCAGCCGTTCCCCCCCGAGGGCGGCGGAGGCGGCGGCGGCGTCGTCGGGGGTTTCCTTCCTAAGAGACTCCCGGGCGCCGGCGCCGGTGTAGGCCTCAGCCTCGGCCTGGAGTTGGCTTCGTCCGGCCTCGAGGCTCCGCTCCGGGGATGACAATGGCGGCGGCGGCGGCCCGGCTGGTTGGGTCAATCGAACAGAAAAGAGTTACTGTCGGGGGGGTGGGGGCTGAGGCTCGGTCAGCGCTTCGCTCGCCCCGTCCCCGACCTCATCCGCGGGGCGAGCCCCGCGCGCCAGAGCGCTGCTCGGGGGTGGGCCCGGGCCTCTGCCGCCGGCGCCGGCGCCGCCGCCTCTCCGCTCGGCCTCCAACCGAAGCCGCCGCGGCGTCTCGCCCGAGAGGCTTCCCGTCTCGGCGGCTTGGGCCCGGCGGGGGAGTGGGGGTGTGGGGGCGTCGTCGCCGCCGCCCCCCCACCAGCGCCCCCGGCCCCGGCCGCTGCTCCTTCTTCCCGCGTCCCTCCTCCTCCAGCGGACCCGAGGCCTAACCGGCGCTGCACCGCGGGAGAGAGAGCGGCCGCGGGGGGCCCGGGGGTGGGGGTGTGCGTGTGTGTGTGTGTGAGGGGGCGGACGTTCCCTCCGCCTCGGCGGCCGCGAAGCTCCTCTTACCTCGGCCGCCCGGGTCCGCCGTGTCCCGGCTCCGGGCCCGGCTCCGGCCCCGCTCCCCGACGCCGCGTCCGCCGCCCTCCGCGTAGTCGGAGATGATGGACAGGGAGACGGGGTCCCCCTCCCGGCGCGGGGGCAGCTCCGGCCTCGAGTCCTCGCTGTCCGTCCCGTCGCTGGCGCGGTAGCCCCGGGCAGCGGACACGTCCCCGACCTCCTCCTCATCCTCCTCCTCCTCCTCCTCATCTTCCTCCTCCTCCTTGGCCTTGGGCTCCTCCATCCGCCATCTTGTCTTCGTCCTCCTCCTCCTCCTCCTCCCGCCTTCGCTGCTCTCTCTGAGCCGCTGCTCGTGTTGTTGTTGTTGCTGCTGCTGTTGTTGTTGTTGTTGGCGGCGGCGGCCGCCGCTCTGGCTCCTCGTTTGCTTGTCCGAGATGTGGTACCACTGGTACAGGTTCCTCTCCCGCTCCGGCTCCGGCCTCCCGCCCCTCCTGGCCGCCTGTCTCACGGCCCCCAGCGCCATGTCGGACGAGTAGAACGCGATCTTCCTCGGTTCCATCGTCGCGTTCCTCACGAGGCCACCGGGTCTGGCTCTAACATCTCCCATCGCTCTCCTCCTTTCCGCTTTTCTTCTCTCCTCCCCCCCCCCCCCCCACCTTCTACTTATATCCCCCCAACGACATCCATCTCCCCACCACCTTCTCTCCTTATCCCTCAACAATGTCCATCTCCCCTCTTCTCTTTCAACAATGTCCTTCTCCCCTCTTCTCTTCTCTCAACAATGTCCTTCTCCCCTCTTCTCCCCTCATCCTTCAACAATGTCTATCTCCCCCACCTTCCCTTCTCTCTTCCCTCAACAATGTCCTTCAGGGCGCCTCCCTTCTCTTCTTATCCCTCAACAACATCTATCTCCCCCCTCTTCTCTCCTCTCGTTATCCCCCAACAATGTCCCTCTATCTCTCCTCCAACCCAACTCCTCACCAATGCTCCCATCCCTACCCCCACCCTTTCAAGGCTCTTTCTGCCGCATACACTTGGCTTTGGTGATCCTGTGCAATGTCACAATCAACCCCCTCAGGTCATCATCACTTTGTGATCTCTTCGCAGAAATAAGGGGAAGTGTGTGTGCGAGAGTGAGTGAGTGAGTGTCCAGGATCACCAGTGGTTGGGATGTGATTAGATTGGCCCACCTCTGTTAGTTAGCCAGGTTTACAGGTTGGTTGGAGGGCGTGGGAGTTGGGGGGTAAAAAGGATGGTTTGGGTTTGTCAACCCTCTAGCGTCCCATTCAGAAGGTCGAACCCTAACTCTGAACCTAATTGGCAGGATGGCCAGAAATTCAAATACCTTTGTAGCCCCAAATCAACCAATTACTATTTAATATGATGATAATAATAATCTTTGCATTTGATATAGCGCTTCTCACGGCTTCTAGACGTTTCAAAGCGCTTCACAGGATACACTGAGAAGTGAATTAACTGTATATTGGTGGGCAAAATGCAAATACTCGCACCAAAGTAGCCCGATATTACGTGTTGCCTGCTATGGGTTGCAGTAGAATGATCGATTTCAGCTTAGTGCTTTCGAAACCGTGTAAAAAGAGGTCTTTCAAAGGTCTTGAGGAAGGGAAGGGGACGTTTTACAGGTTTAAATTAAAAACATTTAAAATTAGACACCCACCCAAAGCATAGTGCAGCAAAAAATGCACCCAATTGGGTGTGAATCCACCCAATCTGGTAACATTGGTTGTGGGTTCAAGCCCCAAGTCGATGACTTTGAACTCATAAGAGTCGAGGTTGATGCTCCAGTGCAATGTGCTGGGGGTGGGGTGGGTGTGGGAGGGCTGTATTGTTATACGTGCCATCCTTCAGAGCTCCTACTCTGTACCTGTTCACAAGGACATTAAGTGTCCCATTGCTTTACTCAATGAGAGAAGAGAGTTTCTACCCTTGAAGTCCTGGCTGACAGTTCCAGACCGGATAAAAAAAAATTGCTCATTCTCTCCACAGCTGCTTGTGGAGATGTTGCTGAGCGCAAATTGGTCTCCTCGTTTGCATACGGTCACTACACTTGATAGTAAATCCTGTGAAGCGCTTTAAGACATCCTCCCGACGTGAAAGGCGCTGCATTGTCAACTTCTCACCATGGGGTTTGAAACTGCAATTTAATGACTCAGAGGCAAGAGTGCGACCGACTGAGCCATATGCTCTTACGTAGTGTTGAATACAGAACCACAGTTGCGAAAAGACTGCAATGAAATTTAAGCCGTCAAAGCAATCGATTTTATAACACACCAAAGCTCAAGAGTCTCACTATCGATCTGCCAAACAGACTACCTTTTATCCAGATAATGAATCTGTGCCAGTGACGATATCAATCTACAAACTAATTGCAGCTGAAGTCCTGCCTGGCGTTTCGAACCCTCACCTCCTCTAGACTGCTCATTGACGCTGTCTTACGTTTTCGCTTGCCAAATGGGGTGAAATGAGCGATCGAGCCAAAGCCCGATCGATATTCGGCCGTTAAGAAGGCGGGGGGGGAAAACTTTTTTTTTTAACAGCGCAACAATGACTTCCAAAACGCTGAAGGTGGAAGAAGAGGCAGGTGACTACAGTAATAAACCCAGCGACGCGCATTGAGACTTCGACAACATGATGAGGTGCTGCATCGAATGGAATTATTACTATCGTATCAAATGCAAGGGTTTCCAATTAATTAATTAATTGGTTGATGCTTCCCGATCGCCAGATTGCCCAGTCACTCCCTGCCTGGTGCAGGAGGGGATACAGGGGTGCAGAATTCTGGACGGTCTGCAGCTCAGGTACGGGAAGAGCTGGGCAGTGTGGCGATCAGAGTTATGGGCGTATCAAGCCTAGATGTGCTAAGAGAGCAATATACACATTTATTTCCCGTCAGAAGGACATCTCAAAGCCATTGAAGCTCAGCTACAGTCCTGAGACTCTCAAAGACAGGGTTCTTACCTTGGCTGTCACCCAGCTTTCCTATGGTCTCAATATGCTCCACCAAGTCATTGGAGTTCCACGTACTCATCCCCAACAACAGAGCGCTTTTACCTTCCACCACCTCCTCTGTACAATAGAGAGAGAGAGAAAAAAAAGAGGAATAAATTTCGATTTTTTTTGCTACACACAATTCCACGCTATGGTTTTTTTAAGGTATAAAAAAAAATCTTAAAACTCGAGCAAGAAAGAGGATTTTCAAACCCGCACACCACACAGAGCAACACACCAGCGATGCCAAACCACAAGACCCATTATCACACCATTAAGCTGGGGGTTGGGATCAAGAGGGGTGAAGTGCAGGGAGGGTAGGAGTAGGAGAGTGACCTAACAAAGAGATGAGCCTTGTAATACGGGGCGAGGCAAACGGACTGGGAGTTTCAGAGTGGGGACAGAAAGGTTGAAGGCTAATGGTGGGATGGGCAGGGCGGGGTACGTGGAGTCTGCTGAGCGGAGGGAGCGGACGGGTCGGTATGGAGTTAGGTCACAGAGGCAGTGAGGAGCAAGACTGTGGAGGGCTTTGAAAGAAAGACATGCTCCCAGCGTAACCAGTGCAAGGATCGTTGGTGTTATTTGTTGATTTGTAAGTCAGAAGTGCGAAGCCAGGCTGTGAGCGAGATAAAACTCCAGACGTGAAAGTGCAACCGCGTCCTGTGATCCTGCCCGCATAACAGAACAGCAGTCATCATTTAATGTTTGGCTGTCGGAGTGGTCTGTATTTAGCTTTTCCCAGTGGCAGATGCTTCCGATGCTCCACTCCACACACACATGGACATACTGCTGCCAATATCCCTCAACCCCAAAATGGCCAATCTGGTACCTGGCGACAAGCTACGAGGATGAGGTGTTAAAGACAGGAAGAACTGGCAGGGGCTGGTGGTGATGAATTGTTCTGGTTTATTTGAGCCCATTTGGTTTGAACAAAACAGTTCTCCTTTCAAAGCCCTCTTTCTTACCCTCCTCCCACTCTATTTTCCCACCCCTTCCCCTTCCTTACTACCCCCTTCCAACCCACCCACCTATCTGCCCCACATCCTTCCTCCTCCCTCCCTCCCTCCCTCATCTTCCCATCACTTCACAGCCAAGTGCGCTGAACGGGCTTTCGCCCAGCAGATGCCGGTATGCGTTGGCTGTGTTCAGCACATCTACTTAAACCCCTCTCAAAGCTTTGGCATTGGTAGGATGAATGGATTGGAAATCCACCATGACCCACCAGACCTGACAGATTTCCAGTTCCCTTGCGCCGAGAGTCCTGGATCAAAAGCATGTCCCTCCATTTAGCCGACAAACTTAGATGCTCCTTCCTACCCTCCCACTGGAATTCTCTCCACGCAAGCACAGCCAGCTCTTTGGATGCGAATGACGTTGTCAACCGCGAAGATCTCAAAAAATAAGGGTCAAACCAATAATAAAACAACAGCGTACTCTCACGCTGTGCCACTTAATAACAATTTGCAGTGCATAAATTGACTGCTGCATTTGCCCACAAATATACAGTCAGACAGCGTGTTTGCAATGACAAGCTCATTAGACTCCAGCAGTTGTCCTTAACGCACAATTCCTTTTCTTCCTTCCTCCCACAGCTCCATCCACCAAGCCTCGACTCTTGCCAACCTGCATCTGATATGTCAGGTGAGTTGGGTGAGTCCATCAGTGGGTGGGGAGAGAAAGGGGAGAGCGACAGAATACAAATTTAAATGGAAATTTTCTATGTAAAAGGTGGAACTCTGTAGTTTTGTTTGGAGACTCTTCAGCATGGCCGTGGATTCCCGCGTGCAACAAGATTTGCAGCTCGAACCTTTTTGCGAGGTGTCTCGAGTCAGTCAAAGGTGCACAAGAGGTCTCGGGAAGCATCGAGAGCAACTCAAATAGGAGACTAATTTGCTCTCATCGGAAATGTCAGTGGAAGGAAGAGAGGCAAATATTTCACTGTTGTATCTACAATCAAACGAGAGACAGAGAGAGAGCGAGAAAGGAGGAAAGAAGGGGGTAAGAAAGAGAGGAGAAAAGCTACGCCGATAATCGCCATGACAATGCGAATGGAAAACTTCAAAGCAAACACGAATAGAGTCTGTTTCGAATCAAATCAAGGAAGGAAATTGATGAAAAGGAAAGCTAATGATCTTCTCTGTATGGGTGTCCGCGTGCAGAAGTGGTTAAGGCTCCGTATCATGGTTGTGGATCGCTCAGCTTCCGTTCCTCTTTATTTTCCTATTAAAATGCTAATTCGGACAGAATTAATAAACGTCGCAAAGTCATCATTAAAACAATCAAAAAATAAAAGTACTGGCGACTGAGAAGGGGAGAATCCCACATATGCTGATCACTCTCCACTCTGGAGATAACCTGCCATCTTAACACAAGGGCACACTAGTTACTGCGCAAAACTGAAGGGCGGATATTTCCGTTTTGTGCCCCAACTAACGTTTGCAAGCCCTCCCGACCCCTCCACTCCACCATGCTTTCAGCTGATACACCCTGACCCTCCCTGAAACTCCCTGCCTCGATCCTGCCTCCTTAACCCTCCCTTTTTGCCCATCTTCAGATCACGCCCGAAGGCTTTCGTTGACCCCCGTACAGTCACCTTTTAAAAAAAAGTCCGTATAAAAGTTATTAAGAGAAACTTCAGTTTATAGCCGAGGGGAGTGCAGCTTTTCGTGTTTCTTCCGCAAAAAAGGCCACTGTGATTTCTGATCTCTCACTGACGAGACCCTCAATAGCCTGCTGCATTTACAGCAATCTACTGGCCAAAACCCAATTAGGGTGAATTTTATACAAAAAAAAGCACAACTCCGACCAACCGAGGACTGACTGCGGCAGTTTACAACAAACTGGCAGAGTCTGTGACCAACAGTGTAACCGGGCAATGCAGTTATAGACACCGCTCCAGACACCCACATAATAATAATAATACTTGCATTTCACGTCGTTGGGACGTCTCAAAGCGCTCCACAGAATACGCTGTAAAGTGAATTGACTGTATATTCTATAATTCACTTTACAGTATATTCTGTGAAGCTCGTTGAGACGTCTCGAAGACGTGATAAGGTGCTGTATCAAATGCAAGGATTATTATTATTATTTCTACCGGGCGATGGGAATTCTAATGGGAAGTAACCTCGATTCGCCCATTCCAAAATCTCTCCCTCTTATGGACTATCTGGTCAGTTGACCATTTCTTCACCTCACTGGACGTCCAATGTGGCAGAATACTACCAAACAGTGCACCAAGCCTTAAATCACAATCATTTTGTTTGCAACACCAACTGTTCCTGCTCATTATTGCGTTGCTAATTCTGGGCCTGGGGTAGGGACTGATTAATTAGACTAGATCTCTCAGGAAGGCACTAAGCTTCGTCAGGAATCTTCATTATCTTTCCATTAACCTCTGACGCCCTTAATTTAGCAACAGCAGAAAGGCTCAGCGTAAACAGCGACGTCAAGTGTAAAAAGAGGGTTTGATGATCCCATTAGCAAATTTTTTTTAAAAAAAAACACTCACAAGCGGTAAATATATATATATAATAAAATAGCTTCACAAAACTAATTTGCAGCGTTTTAAAAGATTTGCCTACCAACCCAAATGATCAATCCACTCCACAGTAATTAATAATAATAATCCTTGCATTTGATATAGCACCTTATCAGGTCTTAGTGAAATGACTGTATATTTTGTGGGTGAAACACGCCGTCGTGGATTGAGTGACAAAATTTGTATTTTTTTTAAAACATTTTGGCGGAATTGTTACCCCCAGAAAAGCGATCCGCCAATCGACTAATAATCCCTCCAAAACAAAAAAAAAGAATAAATTGGTCATTTTCAATCCACGACTGTTTGCGGGACGCTGCTGTGCGCAATTAGTTGCCGCGTTTCGCCCACAAACATACGGTCAATTCACTTTACAGTATATTCTGTGAAGCGCTTTGAGACGTCTCGGAGACGTGAAAAGCAGTGTATCAAATGCAAGGATTACTATTATTATTATTATAACAACTGGGTTCCTATGTACTGCTAGGTAAACAGGCATGTGCAGTGAGGAAGCTTCCCTAACATTCCCCCAACCCTCTCCCCCTGCCGGGAATCGAACCCAGGTCCTCTTGTTTGCGAGATGAGTGCGCTGAATAATAATTCACTGCAGGACTCCATTTACTTCAGTGCAATGCCGGCATTCACACCAATTACTTTTATAGCTCCCAATACGAGCAGTTCCCACCAGAGCAGCTAAACTGTTCCTGACGGTGTGAAGATGAGAGACAACCAGCCACTGATCGTACACCCATTATAGGACTCAGACATCGATCAGCGGGTGAGGTTTTCTGCAGTACAGGGTGTCCCCCACCCCCACAAACCCCCAGATTTTTTTCCTCTCACAATGAATTTTTATTTTCTGTTGCAGACGAGTTGAGTGTAACAATATCTGATACCAGTAATTTCCTCGTCGCTCCATCCATGTTATGGAAGATGTCCCACCGAACATACATGGCAACGGATCATTAACTGCCCATGGAAATGATGGCGCACACACACACATACCGATCCTCTGGACGTCTAAATGCAGTTCAACACTTGACCTGAATGCAATTAAGTACTTCTAAATACAATTATCATCATTCTTCCAGCTGTTGGTCAGTGCACCGAGTGTAAAAAAAATGGGGGTAACAGAACTTTGTACAGAACCTTGTACATTAAAAAGATTTGGGGAAATAAATCTACAGAGACACAAGAGACCAGTGTTCCTTCAAGAACATGAGAGTCGGACATAAACAGTTGCAATCAATAGGGTTTTTAAGTCGCTGAGTTGACAAGCAAAGCCTGTAAATAAAATACCTGCCTTCGCAACCTATACATTGAGAGTTTACAAACAGGAGGACCCAGTGGTACAACACATCAAATTGATGGCAAGAGAAAATTCTACTGAGACTAAAAAAAAAAGGTTTACATAGCTAAGCTTTCCTTTCAGTTAAAAACACACGGCTGACAGGCTGTAATTTTGTACTGTCATTATTTAATGTAACTGCTGATTAAGAGGAGGGCATGTGGGATAAATAGACTTGTAACCGATGACTCAGAACCCATGTAGTTCTTCCATCTTCCTTTTCCGGGATGGGTGGGTGGAGGGTAGGGGGGGAATCACAGGCAGCAGGAGAAGCGGGCACAGGTTCAAGACAATAAACAGCAATCTCACTGGGAAGTGTCATTACACGGAGGGTAATTAACGACTAGAACGGCTCTTCATGAGATAAAAAATCTTATCGGGTGTCATCGGAATTCGCTGCGGATACTGCGATGAGTTACCGAATAACCCAACACTATCCAACTGACACAACAGAGAGAGAGAGAGAGAGACGTAGTGTGAGAGAGTGAGTGAGGGAGTGAGTGACAGAGGGAAGAGAGAGAGATGAGTGGAAGGTTGAAGGATATTGAGCATTTGATGTTTCAGAGCAACTCCAAAACTAACAGGAATTTGCTTTTGGGGTGGGGGGAGGAAATAATTGAATGACACGGTGGAGGGACGGGGGCGAGGAACGAAGGGGAAATGTTTTGCCCGTGTCAATATGGAACTCTCGCTTGTGTGTGTGTGTGGGGAGGGGGGAGAGGGGGTGGTGGTGGGGCGGGACAGGGATGGCTGTGCTCAAATGCAAACCGTGCTATCAGTCGTAAACCATCAGCGGTCGGTAGCAACACAAAAGGAAAAGTAGACGGTTGAGATCAGGGTCTATTTTTGGTTCACTGTATAAAAAAATATCATGATCTCACTGCTGCAGACCAGGCAAACACATCGATACTGTTCACTCTCCCATCCCCTTTCTCCATCAATGACAATGAGGAGGGGGTGGTGGTGGGCAAGAACTGGGGAAGGTGAGGGGGGGAGGGAGGGGAGTAAAATCAATTCGTACAGAAGCAAAAAATAAATTGAACACTTTCACGAACCTCGTGCATCGAAGAATTCATCCTCTGAGCTGTCGATAGAGTCTTGCACGATATTCTGCATTCGACCCCGTAAGTTACCGTGTTGGTAAGAGGCAGCTGCAGTCAGGAAGAGAACATCAATCAGGTTGATCTAACCTTAGCGTTCCTGTGTCCCTAAACCCCCGCAACCTTCCCCCCCCCCCACCACCCCCACACCGGTGGCTCCAATACTCCAACGCCGTGAAGTGACATTTAACTTGTTCTGCTTCACTTCACAGTGTTTCTCTGAACCAATTGCTTTACTCAGAAATGTGTATTTCTGGCTCGGGAAGCGAGGTTGCTGCCGACCAACTGAGCCAGAAATGTACATTTCCAGGCGAAGAATTCGGTTAAAAAAATCGGAAGATCCAGAGAAACCGGAAGGTCATGGATCCAGGAATCACTAAGTAGAAGAAGCAGTGGGGAGGGTGTGGGAGGGGGGGGATTTGAACGAGAAACTAAAGAAAGCGCAGTAATAATAATAATAATCTTTGCATCTGATATAGCGCCTGATCATGTCGTTGATATATTATTAAGTGAATTGACTGCGTAATTTGTGGGCAAAACGTGGCAGCCAAATTGCTCCCAGCAGTGTCCCACAAACAGCTGTGGATCGAGTGAGAATTGTTATTTAAGGGATTATTACGCACGATAAAGAGATCCGCCAATCGACTAAGCCACCAGGTTCCGTGACTCCCCCTCCTCCCCCTCGCCTACACATGGCTTCGTCACACCCTAGCCTCAGGAGCATCTTCTTCCTCCGTCTGAACAGGGCACAGGTTGTGGAGCTCGGTTTCACGTCTCCATCCACACAGCACTTCCAACACCCCCCACCCACCACACTCCCCAGCACTGCACTGGAGCATCAGCCTAGACTGTGAGCTCAAAGTCCCCAGCGTGGTGGTGGTGGTGGGAGGGGATGGGGAAGGGCAGAGTTTGAACCCACAACCTATCAACCCCCCCACCCCAGAGGCGAGAGTGATACCAGCTGGGTCTGATCAACTCGATATCTGGCACTATAGAAAGAACACACATTTTGGATCCATTTTTCCCCTATTATCTACCATCTGTCTCACTATTTGGAGAAAAAGATAAGTTTATTGCTGTAATAAAAGCAGCCGTCGTAAAAACCCACAATGATGAAAAGCACCACTTATACACGCCAGTGATCTGGGCTTACATTATTCTTTTCAATCTTAGCCTCTTCAAAATGCTTCCTTTCTTATCTCCCTCTCTGTCTCTCTTTCTCTCGTTCTTCCCCCCTCCCAAAGAGAAGCAACAACAACAACTTGCGTTTATATAGCGCCCTTCGTGTGGGGAAACCCTCCTGGAGGAAGCAGGTATTTGGATTTGAAAGAGACCAATAGTAAGGAGCCAACTGAGGACAAGTTGACAAGTGTTATTGGAACATCAGGGATAACCATCACAATAATCAGAACAATAATGATTGGATTTGCTATAGCGCCTTATCACGTCGTTGAGACACCTCAAAGCTCTTCGCAGGATATACTGTAAAGCGGATTGACTGATTATTTTGCGAATGAATCAACCTGAATGAAACAATTGGATGCCGCGTTTCGCCCACAAAATATACAGTCAATTCACTTTACAGTTTATCCTGTGAAGCGCTTTGAGACATCTCAACGACGTGATCAGGCGCGATATCAATGCAAGGATTATTATTATTGTTGTTATTATTAGCCCTAGTGTAAATGGCCAGTTTAGGTATAATGACCAGCTCAGAGATTTGATGCCTATCTCCCCATTGACTGAGACGCTACCTTTCATTCACGGCCTCCCCAGGGGAGCTTGCTGTGTTGTGGGGCAACATTTTTCTCTGCCGACTCACATCCACTAAGATTGAAATCAGCGTTAGCTTAATCGCATCTCCTCCAGGACACCTGTAACAACCGCACAGCAGAGAGGGAATTCATGCCGTGAATCTTACCTAGACATAAACTCTTGAGTCTCAGAGGGGATGACGGATAATTTTCAGGGCTGCTGTCCTTTGGTATAAGGTAGCCACAAGAAGGGAAAAAAACTTTAGGAGAAGGGCTTTCCCTCCCCACCTCTCAGGGAGTTGTTGGAATGTGATATATCAGGTAGTGGATGGAGTGGAGGCGGCGGATGAGGGAGATCAGAGAGGTAAAGGGATGCCAGGGTGTGGATGGATTTGTAGGTGAGGTCCTCGAAATCTAAAGTGGATGATGACATGTTCTCTCTTCACCCCCCCACCCCCCCCCCCACCAGTATCCTGGCAGACAACCCCTCCAATAAAATGGCTCTCGGACTCCCTGGCCGTTTGTGGGACAACGCCGTGTGCAAATTGGATGCCACATTTGCCCGCAAAACACGCAGCCATTGACTGCTTACAGTACATCCCATGAAGCGCTTTGGGACGACCTCCTGACGTGAAGAGTGTCATGTGAAATGTTATTATTGTAATAACTATTATTATTCCTATTAAAAGCAAATTACTTTCTGATTAAAGAAATAACCCAGCGCTAAGTTTCGTACCAGTGATAGCCGGCTTTCAACAGCTCACAAGCGATTTGCTGTGGGTGTGATAGTTAGCGCATCCAGCTGGTAACGAAATGTCGCAATTTTGTACCACCCCATGATTTCAGCCCAGTGCAAGCACTCGATCCCAACACAGCCAGACACGTATCTGAGTGTCATTGCCTCAACTGATCAAAAACAGCATTAATATAACAGCAGCTGCAATGAAACAGCACAGAACCAACCTGCTGGGTTAAATCGGTCAAGACAGGAAAGGGTCTCGGATTATTTTTGGTCGCAGTTATTGAGGATCCTTCTGCAGATAATCTAATGTATCTGACACCGTCAATGTCTCCGCAGCCAGAGCCTTAACTGTGCGGTCATTCCGAGAAATAGAATCATTTATAAGCGTAATCTCACACACACAGACACGCGCGCGCGCGCACACACACACACACACACACACACACACACAGACACACCTACACAAACACCCACACAGAGACAAAGAAATACACACAAACACAGATACACACACACACACACATAGACACGTCCACACAGCGATAGACACACACACAGACAGAGATACACACCCTCATCCCCAGACACACACACACACACACAGACCGACACACAAACACACATAGATCCCCCACACACACAGACACGCACACGCACACAGTCTGAGACAGACACACACACACACACACACACCTCTGGGACAACTGCCAGTCAAAATTCTCCCATTTATTTCCGACTGTTCTCTTGCAGGGTTGGGAGGTGCACAGATATCTTGGCATGATGGAAGCACAACTGTTCCAAAAAAAAAAGATTCTCGATCCTCTCTCTTTTCTCTCTCTTTATCTCTCTCTCAATAATATGGTCACAGCAACAGCCCCAAAAATACAGTTTAAAAAATATATTTATACATCATCAGCTTTCAGCCCAACATTGCTCAATATAGAACTATTTAAGATGCAGACCAATTGTGAAGGGTTACTATTTTTATGCAGGGAGAAGAGAAATCACTGGAGGATGGTTACTTACAACACTGTATGTCATTGGTATTCTCATCGTTTAATGCTCCCCATTAGATTTCAGCTGGAATTCCTATGAAAACGGGCTTCAAATCACACACAAACACAGACACACACCGGCACACGCAGACACGCACGCAAAATAAAACACTCTTGGTATCTTCCTTACATAGGAATTCCAAATCTTCGTACACAAGCGTGCGCACACACACACACACACTCGCACAAGCCACACAAAACAACCTACCTTTTCAGTCACTAAAGTAAAAGCATTTGCATCCTTCTGTCGAAAATAACTGGAGACAAGCCAATGTGTGACTACAGAGTGGACCAACAGAATACAGATAGCAGCGGTGGAGAGGGGAGGGGGGATGGGAGGGGGGGGGGGGTTGCATAAAGGCATCAAACCCTGTGATTTGGCTGTTAATTCTTATCACACTCGCACACACACACAAAAGCAGATAACTTGGTTCATCAATTTTGCTGGTGTATGTCACTGTGAGTGCCTTTACTCTGAATTAAGGACAGTAGAGGTGGATGGGTGGGAATTGGGAGGGTGGGGGGAAGAAGGGGGGTAGGGGGGGGAGTGAAATGACAAGCAGGGGAGACAGGAAGAAAGCTCCTGGTCTCTCTCATTGCCTGACAGGAGCCAATCACAGAAGTCTCTTCTACATCTGCTGCGCTCCTGATGGGGAGTTGGGGTGGGGGGAAAGCGGGTCAACAATAATAAATATATAGACAAGACACACATGGATTCGGTCAAGATACCAGACCCCAACTGGTTACCATACGGGGCTCCTGCCGTGGATGTCGAGGTGGGTAGAGATGAGAGTCAGTGGCTATTAGCTACACACCAGCGACAGTGGTATATTTTGTGGGTGAAACACGGCAGCCACTTGCGCCCAGCAGCGTCCCCACAAACAGCCATGGATTGAAAACATAAAAAGACACATAAAGACACACACACACCAAAGAAATTGCTTCTCAATTCACTTTACAGTATGTTCGGTGAAGCGCTTATGAGACGGCTCGAAAACGTGATAAGGAGCTATATCAAATGTAAGGATTATTATTATTATTATTATTATTATTCACTGAGAGTCAGATGCCCGGGAAACCTTGGCTGTTTGATCGCTTCACCATCGTTCCAAATCCCTCTCCTACGACCTGACCGACTTAGATCTTTTTATTTTCCCGCTTGAAAACTGCAGCTTGATGGGCCGCGGGAGGAGGATGGGCGGTTCTTGGGAACGATCAGGTCTCCGTGCGGAAAACCTTCCCAGCCGCAGAACATAAACAGCAGCAAATGGATCTGAACAGCCTCGAGGTCACCGCGCTGTTGGCCGAGGCAAAGATTTTGATTAAAAAAAAGACTCAGCGAAGCTGCTTTGCCCGAACAGTTAACCATTTAACATCCGCAAACCACGCACCTTTTCCACTTGATAAATAATAATCATAATAATCCTTGCATTTGATATAGCGCCTTAACACAAGTCTCAAAGCGTTTCACTGAATGTACTGTAAAGTCAATTGACTGTG